GGGGTTGCGGTGTTTGTTTTCATGAAATGGATTCTTTAACATACATACATACATGGATTATAAATAAACAGAGACCTTTAACATTATACCCTCCGCGAATATGTCATTTTAGACCTGTAATCAAATATATATTAGAAAAAAAGAAATTATGTTATCTATGTAGACACACATCAGAATGTGAAAACGTTTCATTTTGTTAGAAGATTTTATTCATAATACGTATTTTTTACAAAAATAACATCCACAAATTACCACCTTGTTGTTTTGTTTTTTTTCCCATCGTTTTCTACATAGAATAGAAGTGATTGTTTGGTTTTGTGTTCTGTTTTTTATTAAAAAAAACACCTATGCCTTCCTACCTCTACGTCTGCGGGGTGGTGGCGGTCTGTAATAATAATTTGGTGGTGGTCTGTAGTATTGATATTGTGGTCGAGGGTAGGGTTGATAACGACGTGATTGATTACCCTGATTACCCTGTCTTTGATTTACATTTAGATTGATGGGTTGTGATTTTGATTTTTTCCCCCCACCAAATAAACTACTTAGGAAACCACCGTCTTGTTTTTGTGTCGGTTTCCCACGTTGATATTTTGACCCCTTAAAATTCCCACCATATTGATATGTACGCCGTCTTCTGTATCTGTTGTTTACCATCTTAATAGCTTTCGTAAACGAATGATTGGTTTTATAAAAAGGCCAGGGTACTTATAGTTTTTTTGTTTTTTTTGCCGCCCGCTAAAAAGCAGGGCGATTAAAAAATAAGGTGAAAAATATTTTATACAGCACAGAACATTCTTCCATCCGGTATTGCTATCCTCATTGCTACTTGGTATTTTAAATGTTGCTTTATATAGACGTAGATTACAGTAAATATTAGCTAGATTCCCAATAATTTTACAATTTTATTTGTAATGCCCAAATATAGGCATTAAATATGATTAGAGGGTTTTATGAAAAGAGAGTTATTTTTTTTATTTTCTATCAACAATGAATCGTCGACGTTGTCTTTTGTGCAACGATCAAATCTATCGTGTGAATTTATGTTTTCTAAAATTACTAGAATGTACTACTGATTATGTACGTTTCGAAGTGGAGTATTTCTGTCGTGGAATGTATGTACGACGCATCATAAAAAAAGAATTAGATTCTCCAAATTTTACTATCACGGCTGTTGGTTGGTGCAGTTTTGAAGATGGCGCTTTAAAACATAAGTTAGAAGAGTTTTTTAAACAGTGTAATTATACATTTTTGCATTACAAGAATACGTTGGATTATTGTCAAACGGAACTTGATTACTATTTGATTAAAAATTACGGCATCTGGTTCAAAGACGATCTAATCTGGTACGCACTTAATTCAATACCTTATTCAAATTATAATTATTGTCAGAATTTGACCAATTTAAAATATCAGAAACAATATGACTGGGGTTATGCGTAGTTGTGTGTTGTGTGAACGCTGGTCTTCTGGTGTTTTGTATGACGATAGCATTAAAGATATAGATTATTGTTATGATTGTGTTCATATTAACGGCGATGAATATGCATTTTATATTGGTTTTCCCGAGGGTTTTATACGTCGTAAATTTTCATTACTACCTGAAAGAAATGTATCGACACAGCGTTTAACTGGGGGGTATGTTTTATATTCAACGACGTGTATTGACGCTTTAAAAAGACTTTTTGGTATGCTTAAGGACGGCATGGCGTGTGGTTTAAAGGATGCGGTATTAAAACAAAATATACGTCAGACATATTTGGTACCTGACAAGATCCATATTACTACGCGGTTATATGATATTATGAAAAAAATTGCGTCATATGCCACGGTGTCTATTTATGAAGATACAACATACTATCCCTTATCTTGCACAGGTTGAAAGGATGAGTTATATAAACAGAAGAAAGAAGTTATTTTTTGAAAAACAAAAGGAAAAGAAATACAAATTATTACAAAATACATTTACAGTTTTACATATGGGTATTTTATACCCTGTTACATATGTGTTAAAAGCCGATATTACACGGCGAACAGCTAGCTATTATAATGTAGTACTTATCTTACAATGGTGTAATAGTGAACAGACGGAACATTATACTTTCAACGGAACCCTTGTTCTCCGGCTATGCGGTAGTGGACAAATGAATAGAATTGCACGATTTGTGTTTTATATACAATGGCTTTTTTCACCGAATTCGTGTTATGCACGTAATATTAACGGTATTCGAAAACGATTTTTAACCGAACGTATGATTATTGATGATAGTGTATTACCCCTTATTATATACGCACATTTATATAAGTTGTATGTGAGATGAAAATACACTCATTAGTTGTAAAACATGTGTGCTGTGTGTGTGTTTTTTTTAAAATGCAGCGTTATACGACAACGTCGTGGTGCGGTTTAGTGGAATCTCAAAGTGAATATGTAAGAGAGTTATTTAATGAGGAATTGCTTCATTATCTAAAAATATATTCGACCCCTATACAAAAGTTATTGTGGAAACAAGAATGTTGTGATTTAATGCTGTTATTAGTAGCTGATGATTCTTTTAGCGATATTTCGGGATATTTTCGAGTAATTGTTACAGCCTATATACTTGTGACCTTATATGGTTATATCGATTTTTCAACTTCTGAAAATAAATGTTTTTACCTCACTAGAATAACCGAGATTTATAATAAGATATGTGATCATATTAAAGGTGTAATTGCTAAAGAGTTTTTGATCAATACCGCATTGCTTGTCGGACTTGGTTTCGCGGTCTATAAAATGCTGTAGTAGAAATTCAGTATCTCACATTGTAAAGATGGCGCAACTTCAACGAGAGGTATCAGTAGGCGGTGTTGAGATGTATGAGAAGCGAAATGCTTCACATGTTACCGAATTGGGTGCATACCAGAACAAAACAAAAAAAATGTTATGGTATGAGCGTTGGAATGAGAAATGTTGCATCGCTTCTTCATCACCTACGCAATCGGGTGACAAGAGTTTATATAAAATGAAATTTGTGATGACGGTCGAGCAGCTTCGCACCTTTTACGAATCTCTGAAGACCTGCAAGAAAGGTGGTACCTACTACACCATTATCGACGAATATGAAGATTATCAGAAAAATGTGGTTCGTATCGTCTTGAAAGATAGCGAATATCGCGGTTTGGTCCTCGTGCGTCTACAAGCTACTCGACCCCCCGATGTTCTCATGGCAGATGTTCCCGACGGTCTGGAAGACGATATCCCCACATCACAAGCAATCGCCGATGTTGAAGGGGAATGGGAATGGGAAGAGCAATGGGCAAAAGCCTACTTCTCAAAGAATGAAAATTGGACCTATGTGGCCAAAAAAATCAACGAATTTCTCATTAAAGTGGAACATCAGGAAGATGTTGATGATGAATCAATGATGACGCCGACGTTACTTCCATCCACTGCAAATTCAACCACCGCAAAGAACCCGAAACGCAAAGAACCTGCAAAATCTGGTCTTGGCAAACAACCGGCGAAAAAGAGACGCACTATAGATCCCACCGATGAAGAGGTAACAAAATTTAATAATTGGTATGAGAATATAAAACTATATGGTTTTTCGGCAAATTTTCAAAACCGCGTAAGCTGTGTTGTTAAAGGGGTCTTGATGAAGATGCTAAGGGAAACTATTACGTATGAAAAGGCATTAGAATTTTACAATTTTAAAGGTGAATTCAATGTACTATTGGATAATGATTTAAAACAGAATGTATTAGACACTGTTGTGCGTTTAAACGCATTGTGTGAAACTAGCGGTATGTCGATGGATAGTTTTACACAAATTTTTCATTAATTTCCCTTTTTTTTAGTATCGTAAAGCCGTATCGCTTATTATAGCTGTGATGCATCGTGAAAAAATTAAATCTTGCAAAGAAGCTGTATTACTATATACATCTGAAATGAATGATGAATATGTGTATGACTATCTTGCCGTGATCAAAAACGATGACAATGTAACTATTATAGAAGATATGTATTCTGAAATGATTGACAAACATATGTTATATTAATTTTTTTAGTAAAAAATGGGGAAGACAAGTAAAGAACTGATTAAAAAAACATCGCGTCTGTTAAAACACGAGAAATTAAATGATAAACAAAAACAAGCGTATACGTTACATAGTAGAAAATTTACAAAATATAAACGATTACCCATTAATATATATAGTCGTAATGCACAGTGGAGTATTGATTTAGCAGATTTGAATAATTTATCAAGATTTAATAACCAATATCGTTATTTGCTTGTGTGTGTCGATATTTATTCTCGTTATGCCTTTGTACGTCCCTTAAAGACGAAAACGGCTCGAAATGTGGCGAATAAATTTGAAGATATACTTATAAAAGAAAAAGAAATTCCTTTAAAAATTCAAAGTGATGAAGGGACAGAATTTGCGTTGATTAAAAGGGATTTGCGTAAGAAATATGGTTTCACACTTTTTCACACTTACAATTGGGAGACGAAAGCCGTACATGCCGAACGATTTATTGAAACCCTAAAGCAGAGTATAATGCGATCAATGACCGGCTTAGATCAAGGTCATCGATACATAGAAAATCTGAAATTGATTATCGAACGATATAATGAAGCACCACATCGTGGAATATATAATCAAACACCTTTTGACGTGTACAAACGAGGTAAAAAACCTGACACATTTCTAAGATTGAAAACATTACTAAATGGTAATCCGACACCTGTACGTCTATTAAAACAGGGTCAACATGTTCGTATCGCGCGAATTAAAAATAATGTTTTTGAAAAATCAAGTTTAAGACGTTGGGTAAGAGAAACCTTTTGTATTAAAAAGGTGTACATTTCCGATCCCGTCACGTATTCGCTTGAGGATCTGCAGGGTGAGGAAATCAGCGGAATATTTTATCGTCGTGAATTGCAACCGCTATGAATATTCAAATTGTTAGTAATGCACGAAACGATGTGGGTGGTACGAATTATACTAATGAGTTTGTGATGCCTTTGCCGACATTATTGGATGCGGAAAATAAAGAGCTATTTATGAGAGTTTTAAATTTCTCGTATCCTTTAACGATTGAAAATGTGCAAAATGAGCAATGTGGTGTACAGCTTTTTATGCATTTTCCTACATCCTCTGATTCTGGTATCGAAATTTTTTTTAAGACCGACATGATGTATTTACCCCCGGGTTCCTACACGTTACAAAAACTTCTCGATACGTTGAACACATTTGTTGCCGAATATGATGTTAATTTTACAATTTTAAATAATAACCGTGTCGGTGTAACGTACAATATCGAGCGTGAATATTGGCATTCTGACTCGCATATAAAAAGAGTTTCAACAAAACCCCCCCATCAAGTATTCGAAGTTTTTTCCCAAAATACCGCAGTAGGTGACGAATTTGAAATGGTCTTTACCCAATCTTTGGCATACATGCTAGGTTTGCAAGAAATAAAGGTTCATCCAGACGTTGTTAAAACAAAATCAGAATGGGAAAAAGGATCTTTTTTTTTTAATATTGAAATACAACCACCCCATGATTGGTACCGTTTCATGAATAAAACAAATGCAAGTGGAGAGAATAAATTTGCTTGTTCATTCATGGGTAAAGCCCTTCCCGATATTTCCAATGGTATTGATAAAATGTTTGTATATTGTGAACAATTGGAAATGTCTGTTGTTGGCGATACATATGCACCCTTGTTGGCTATTATACCTTTAAACGGTAGCGATCGAGGTAGTGGTGCATTGGCTACATATACACCGCCGAGTACACGTCGTAGATTAATCAAAAGTAAAATTAACGAATTTAAAGTTACAATCTATGATACAACACATACGCTAATACCTTTTAGCAGCGGATCTGTGAATATCGAGTGTGTTGTGGAATAAGAAAAAATGTTAAAGATTGATTTAGAAGTAAAAGCCAATCGTCCTAAAGAACTTGTACCTGTAAAATATGAATACAGCTCGGAAGTTAAAGCACAATTGTCACATAAACTAATGTATTACACTGTGGCACATGTTACGGGTCTTTTGGGGGGTTATAAATTATCAGTAGCACGAAAATGGGATGTTACTAGCAAACTAACAGGTCGTGAAATTCCCGCCACAGGTGGTGGTTTTTTTTACGGTGGTAAAGATTACGGCGCGCCACTTCGTACAAATGCAGTTCGACATTATTATACCCTAAAACGATATTTATTATTTGAACGCTATGAACAAATGAATAATAATCGGATAATAATTCCTGTATCAAATTCAACGGTAAAAGCACCACTTCCAAATTGTTTATTGACCGTCCGAAATGTTGCTGATTTAGACGAGAATGTGAAATTTATTTTTGAACGAACAGCGGGATATGACACTGATAGTTTTGCACTGGCTGCGGGTGTCTTAAACCGATCAAAATTATCCATTATTTTAAATATATACGATGAAATGTAAAATGAAATCATCATTCACGATGCAGCAATCAGACTACGTAAAGCTGTTAAAGGGACACGTTTGTATGTGTTACAGGGTAAAGCATCAACCGTTGAAGAACGTGCTGCGGATAAAATTTGTCCACCACCGCAGTTAAATCCAGGTTACGCGCCAAATCCCAAAATACAAAGGGTTGGTAAAATACAACCCAGAGTTCCTAAACAACCACAGCAAAGCGGTCCGCGTGCCGCTGCTATAGCTCCGGAAATTTTAAAAATAATCTATGGGTAGTAAACGAAGAATAGCGAATAAAAAGAAGAAGAGATTACGAAAAGTAAAAAAACAAATAGGTGGTTTTGGCCCCGCTGCAGGAATAGCGTTGGGGATGGCATTACCGATGTTATTAAATACCGGTTTAAGCGTTGTAGGTAGTATTTTTGGTAAAAAATCTGCTGGAAAACCAACACAAAGTGTAAATAATCAAGGGGGTCATAGACCACCCCCCGCATGGATGGATGCCCCAGCACCCCGACGTCGTCGTAGACGAGCGCAAAGATACTATGACGAGGATTACTATTAAAATTGTAAAAATATTATTTTTTTGACTTTTAAATAAAAAAACTAAAAAAATCAGTGTGTGTGTATTTTTTTTAAAAAGGAACTGTTTTTTTAAAATAGTTTCATTAGTTCATTGAACACCGTCAGGATGAAACGTAAAAAACAAGAGGAGGCAGAACCTATTGAAGAACATGATAGTGGTTTTGTGGGGCCTATGACATTATTTGATACATTTCCCCATAATGATACATTTGCAGAAATGCGTACTCTTGAATTACTACCCAATCCTTCGACCGAAAATGCTGAAATTTATACCTTCATGCATAATCGACAAGATTATGGTGTAATAGATATGGAAGATGCTAAATTATCAGCAAAATTACGACTTGTTACATCGGCTAATGGGAACGCACAGGCAGCCACTGTAAATGCGTGTGTTAACATAGCCCTGTTACGTTATGGGTGGAAAACCAAAGCTGTGTATTTAAATAATCAGTTAATTACCCCTCAATCCAGTAAAGAAAATGAACTTGAGTATACTCATGATTTTCTAACAACCGTTCCTTCGGAATATTTGGATGATAAGCAAATTAATTTAATGATTCGTGACACACCAGGTCATATGGATGTGATCACAAATTTACATCATAGTACGAATGCGACCGGTAATACAAATATTGGTGCACGGCAACGATATAATGCAATTAACCGGGCCGTAATTCATACTTGTATTGATAAATTGGATTTATTGGGTCGTGTTAAAAGGTATGTACCCACATCATTTGATATCAAAGTGGTTTTAACAAGATTAGAAAAAACCAAAGTCATCTATGGTACGGCTGCCGAATGTACCTTGTTAGATTTACGAATGCGTGATTTAAAATTATCCATACCAATTTTAAAACCCAATGCGTAATTATCGGGAGCCATTAATGATTTGATGATTCAAAAAGGTGAAGAATGTCGTTATTATAAAATCACACACCGGTATGTTGCAATACCCGTACCTCAAAATAGCCGACATATTCAACATAAAGATATCTTCAATGGTGCACGACCTACACGTCTTATATCAAAAATTGTATCCCAAGACCGTTACAACGGCTCGCATATATTGTCACCTTATCATGTAGCTTTTCCTGATATCGCGCGTTTTGCTGTCAGCATCAATGAAGCCGAAATACCCCCTGTAATCACAAATTCAGCAGAGGCCTACGTTAATTTACGTCAAACCTTGGATCGTCGCCATAGTGAAATGCCGTGTACATATAATGAATATGTATCCGATTACGGTATGATGGTTTCTCACAAGTTTTACCCAATTCAACAAGCGGAAATTTGAGTGTAAAAATTGATTTTAACCAAGACACGGCAGCTGCACAACAGCTAATTTGTATTGGGGAATTTCGAAATCAAATGAGTGTTGGATTTGGGACACAAGCACGTTTAAAATACGAAGTATAACATGAACTTAAATCAGTTTTGTCTCAAATATGAAGAAGAAACAGCGACGTTGTTGTGTGCGGTATAAAAAACAAAAAGGTGGAAAAGGCAATTTACATTATTTTCGAAAAGCTTTCGTACCAAAAAGATTCCAAAAAGGTGGGAATCGAAAATTGAAAAATCAAAAAGGTGGTTGGAATTTATTTACTGATGGGTGGTAATAAGCTTAGGTCTATATCTATTTATATCCTAGGTGGTGGTGATATCTTGGGTGTTAATTCATGGATGAAAGGAAAATCCAAAAAAGAACAAAAACAAATTAACGATTTGGCTAGAAAATTTTTGTAATAAAAAACCAAAAAAATGATAAACACATGTATTTCCCGCTAGGCAATGGCTAAGACAGTCACGTCATTTTTTGCACGTAAAAAAAGCGTGAGAAAAAAACACAGAAAGTTAAGGCGAAAAAATCAAAAAGGTGGTGTATACTGGGCAAAGAAATGGTTTGGTAAACCCAAAAAATAGATAAAATGCAGTTACACACACATACTTTTGTCATTCGCACAATATGCCGTTGCACACGCTAGGAGGCGATGGGTTAAAACTCGGTCCCCGTAAGAAACCAGAAGCTTTTGTATGTCGACCGCGACCACCACACACTGTAATTATCAGTGATAAAGGAGTAAATATTCAGACTATTCACATCCATAGTGTAATTTCAAAATATGGCTGAAAATACTGATTTTAACGAATTAAACACAAACCTAACGGGTTATTCGGACACTGATGATGATAATGATAATGATGATAATGTCGATGTGGATGTCGCCACCCTAGAAAATGTTGAAAATACCGATCAGCCCGATGTAGAAGCTGTAGAAGTAGATGAAGAAAATACAAATATTCAACCGGGCAATGAAGATGAAAATATTTCCGATTTTCAAAGCAATTTTGAAAATTGTGATGATGATGGTGATGATGAAAATGATCAAGTAATGCAAGGTTTTTTTAAACAGCTGTTACACTTACAAGAACAAATTGAAAAGAAGAAGAAAGAAAATCGTCTCATACCTTGTGTTTCTAATTTTATGAAATTAGATTTTGATGAAAGAAGTCAACAAATTTCACCGACTATCACACGACATCTGTTACACGTTTGCGGTTTAATTGTTCGCAATAAACTTGATATTCAAATAGATCATGGTGACCGCGTTGTTTTAGAACATATTACGGGTAAAGATTGTCCAAAGAAAGATATAAAATTTACGCTCGTAGAAGATCTACGCATTCTGGGTTATATTCGGAAAGCTGTTAGACAACTGGAGCTGATCAAGAAAACGCATACAAAAGAAAATGGGCAAAGAAGTCAAGCGGTTAGCGTTGATCGACGCAAATAAATTTAACAGTTTGATGGACATGCTTACAAAAAATAATGCACGAGATGAGATATTGAATAATGCAAAACGAAGCAGCGAAGAGGCTGGTCTTATTGAAAGTCGTCAGGAAGTTAAAAAATCTGTTAGAGATAAATCTTCCACGGCCGGCAACGACATCATTAATTATCTAAGAAAAACGGATAGTTATCGAAAATCGATCGGTCTTGATCAAGCTGTAGATGATGATACTGTGGCACCGGAAAATAATCCTGTACCCGTGACGGCCGGTGCGTCGGGTGCGGGTCATAAACCCGGCACAGTTGCTGCATCGGCAGCAAAAATAGAGCAACATTTCCAAAAACACAATGTAAAACCTACTGCTCAAGGCATTCGATATGGTAGCAATGATTTGAATATATCCTATCAGGATATGTTGGAAGATTTAACACGAAACTACGTACAAACTCAACCCAATTTAAACGACCATAGCCGGCGTCGTGTGTTACTGTTATTAAAAAAAACAAATATGCCCATTTCATATATTCGAAATAAAACCATTAAAGAACAGTACAAACAAATGTTGAGTCAAAGTGGACAAGCTAGCAAACCGGGACCTTCAGCTATCCCCACCCCCATAGCAAAAAGTAAAGGGAAACAGAGAAAAGCAAGAGGGTATCTTTCAGATTAGATGACGTCGTTAATCTGTTTTATAAGTAAATTCTTAAACACAGACGACATTGATAAATTGGCTAGTGAAAATACCGTTATCAATACATATTATTTGGGATGTTACCCCGCAAATAAATATAAAAAAAATATCAAAAATCGATGTTGTTGGGTGTGGAATACCGACGAGGACGATAAACCTGGTACACATTGGGTTTGTGTTGTAAAAGACCGTCAAGATATTATATATTTTTGATAGTTTTGGCAAGACTCTGCGTTTTTTTGGTCGTAAATACTGGCTTGATTATTTCCGTAGTTTACATTGTAACTTTTCTGTATATGTGCAATTACAACGTCAATCGTATATTAGCAAGACCTGTGGTGCATGGTGTTTATTATTTTTACATAGTTTCTATAACAACGTGGATATTATCGACAAATTTTCTGTTAAACAAAATGAACTTTTAGAAAATGAAAACAAATTAAAACAGTTAGTATATGGCGAATATCCCAACATGATTAATATATATAAGGATAAATGTAATAAGGGTAAGGGTCAAATTTGTAAAACATATTTAGAAGCATTTCAACAATACATGTAACTTTTATAATTTTATTAATAAATTTATACAAATTGTTTTTCTGTATTGTAAATTATTGTACATTCATTGGGCAATATACCCGTTCGAACACGTGCATTGGCGGGCGTGTGAGGACATCCGTCAAACAACACATAGCCGTATTGTTTTTTACCCACATCCGCCAATATTTTGCGTATTGTCTGTAGACGGATGCCTTTATTTCGCGCTATCAATTCGATATCTCGAGTATCAGTGTAATTATTAAAAAGAAGATGATACATGCTATTCACACGCATACTTCGTAATTTTCCATTACCATAATTTAAAGTTTGACACACAAAAAATATAGAGAGATTTAAATGATGGCTATCACGTGTCGCTAAATTGTTCAAATTTTCAGTACCCTCCTTAGTTGACATTGCTAAGATCATTAGGTCATCGAGAACAAGTAGGGTACGTTCACCCAACAACGGTCTTATATCCTCTATCGTGGGTATACCCAATCGTGCACAGTCGTAGAACTCACA